ACCTAAACAAACCAGTGATGCAAATAATCACTTTCTGACATGAAGACTGTTCTAGATTCTGGGGAAAGCCTCTACAGTTCCTCAGGTGGATCAAGGGTAGGATTTACTGGCCCTTCACAAGTCCAAAAGTCCTGGCTTACCTGAAGGGCAGCGGAATACCAACAATCAGTTGGTTTCCTACCAAGTTTGGTTTGGGAGGTTTAGAAAAGAACAGAGTAACTGACTATCTGTGAAGCTGTAGAAAGCAAACAAACAAAAAATGGTTCTGTGCTGGAGTCTGCATACTTCCCACATCGGCCTTGCATTTCACAGGTTCCTGGAAGAATGGACTCTTCTTTAACCAAAACCTACCCAAAATAGCACTGTCCAAAAGAACTTTCTGTGATGATGGAAATGTTCTAATATCTGTGTTGTCGTAGCAACTTTGTGTGCTTTCCTTAAAATACCTGAGACTAAAACACATAGCCACATCATGACTTTTGTGGGCCCTTACAGACTCTTGCCTTCATGAGTCCCTTCCTCTATAAAAAATAAATAGAACAATTAAATTATTTCATTGTTATAAAGATAAATATATTAATATTATATATTAAGAATTTTTATTTGACCTAAAAGTTCGTCTTTTGTCTTCTGATTTTAAAAGAAATTACAACATTTTCTTTGGCCCCTAAAAGTAGCGTGGGCTCTGGGCAATGAGGATGCTGTACCTAGTGGAGCAGTTAGGCCTGTTTGAGAGGCTGTGCTTTCTCTTTATGGAAGACCTCACATTTAAAACTGGCTGGCAATGGCCTATTCTTTCGTAAAAGACCGCAAATTATATTTTGTGCATAGTTGGTGCACAATAAATACTAATTGATTAAACATATTCAGAGACGTAAGGACTTCTCTTGTAACAACGTGAATACTTCTCTACTTTTGTTTCTAAGGTCCATTTTGGATCTATTATTTTGCTACTCAGACCAGCACCACTGGCATCCTGTGGAGCTTGTCACAAAGGCACAGTATCAGCCAGGATTGCAGGATTTGAGTCAGGATTTGCAGTTTGGAAAAAATCCACAGGTGATTCACATGCACCTTACACTGGAGCACCATCAGCTAGTGATTTACACAGGGTAGCTCACCATTAGGAGAAAGGGAAGAGCTGATTCCCTAAGCTCATATAATTGAGGGCTGGCTCTCACCCTTCTCCAGTGACAAAAATTCAGTTATGTTAGTCCAGCTGTTCCCAATCATTGTGATCACCTGGGATCCTTAAAAAATACCAATGTGCCCTTCCGACCCTACAGAGTCTGAAATAATTGGTCTGGGGTGGGATTGTGGGAACCTAAGCTGTTTTTTTGTTTTTGTTTTTGTTTTTAGCACTTCCTGGGTGATGCTAATGTGTAGCCAGAATGAAAATTGTGAGAACTTTCCCACAAGATTTGTCCCCTGGTTTTGATCAAGCTGGCTTCTTCTGTGTTCCCTCACCTTCTCAACCTAAGCAACCAAGGGGATAGTCCAAAACTAGTTTCTTACCTCAGAGTCTGACATGCTCTATTAATTATCTCAAAGCTCTGAAGTGTTCTAACATAGCCATATTCTGAAATATTACTTGCCACCATTTCCTGCATGCTTATGATGTGTCCCATCGTCACCTTCAGTCATTTAATCTTCACAATGTTAGTAAATAGTATTTTTTTAAAAATTTATTTATTTGACAGAGAGAGAGAGCACAAGTAGGCAGAGAGGCAGGCAGAGGGAGAGGGAGAAGCAGGCTCTCCACTGAGCAGGGAGCCCGATGTGGGGCTCGATCCTAGGACCCTGGGATCATGACCTGAGCCAAAGGCAGACGCTTAACTGACTGAGCCACCCTGACGCCCAGTAAATAGTATTTTTATGCCCATTTACAGATGAGGAAATGGAGGCTAGAAGGGTTGGATCTTCTGAAACCACTGTATTTCTCATGCTAAAATCTGCACCCCCTCCTCCACCCTTCTATCCATGGTCTGCTAGTATCATGCTTTTATTTAGAAAACACTGGTTAAATTCCTAACATATGTGGCCAAACATCAGATTTACAATGATTCAATCTTTGAGAATTATTGGCCAATAGAATGAAGAGCAGGAAAGAATTAAGTAGATAATAGAATTTAGAGCGGTTCTAAACCATTTAAGAGAAATTTGAAAATTGTGATATAAAATTTCCTTCCTACATAACTGATGAGAGAGTTCACTTAAAAAAAACAAACATTGGGCACCTGGGTGGCTCAGATGGTTAAGCGTCTGCCTTCGGCTTGGGTCATGATCCCAGGGTCCTGAGATCGAGTCCCACATCGGGCTCCCTGCTCCTTGGGAGCCTGCTTCTCCCTCTGCCTCTCTCTCTCTGTCTCTCATGAATAAATAAATAAAATCTTAAAAAAAACAAAAACAAAAACAAAAAACACCAAACATTAAATACTGCAGAGCTGGGGTGCCTGGGTGGCTCAGTTGGTTAGGCGTCTGCCTTCAGCTCTGGTCATGATTCCAGGGTCCTGGGATCCAGCCCCAAATTAGGTTCCCTGCTCCTAGGGGAGACTGCTTTTCCCTCTCCCTCTGCTGCTCCCCCTGCTTGTGCGCTCTCTCTCTCTCTGTCAAATAAATAAATAAATAAAATCTATTTATTTATTTATTTGACAGAGAGAGAGCGCACAAGCAGGGTGAGTGGCAGGCAGAGGCAGAGGGAGAAGCAGGCTCCCCGCAGAGCAGGGGGAGCCCGATGCGGGACTCGATCCCAGGACCCTGGGATCATGACCTGAGCCGAAGGCAGTCGCTTAACCAACTGAGCCACCCAGGCGCCCCCAAATAAATAAAATCTTAAAAAAAAATTCCAGAGCTAGAGTCTCCATACAAATATTAAATATTCCATAGGGGCCCTGTATTAGTACTGGAGATGACTAGGCTAAGAAACAGTCTTTGTCCTTGAGATGACAAGAGAGGACAAGAACCTGTAACAGTCTGACATACGACAGTGACTATAATCACGTGCTCAACTGTGGTAAGGTCATTAAACTTCGTCCAAGTTCAGAGGCTGGCAGAAACCAGGACAATTTTTTGGAGTTTGTGGAGGAGGTCTATAAGGACGAATGGAGACTGAATATAGAAAAGACAGAACTGAGCTGGGAGGGACATTGGCATCATACTCACCAGGAAGTGAGAATTTTCCCAACTGAATTACCAACCTGGTTTCTTGTTCGGTGAATGTCCCCTGTCTGGGGATGGACAGTATGTTGTCTTTGAATTCTAAACAAATGTGGTCTTTGCCAAGTTTAGTGCTGAGTGTCCAGAGTTACCTGTATCTGAAGTAGCAAAATCAATCAAATGCATAGGGTTATTTACACACCTGATACCTTCCTGCCTCATATATTCACGGGCTTCTTTTAAGGTTGCTAGAGTACACTTTGCTTAATATTTGAACCTAGAGAAGTTGAAAGCCAAGCACTTATTTAAATATTGATCAAGCTCAGTGCTGGAGAGAAGAAAACTGCAGATAGCATGATTATAGGTCCTTAGCTGGTAAAGGTTCTACGGTTACTAGTTTTACTTGTTTCTTTTTAGGGGGGAAGGAGTTTTAGGTAACTTCTTATAATACTTGTTCTTCCTCCCACATTTTCTTACTTTTTTCTTGCTACATATCTGACCTAATTAATGAAAAAAAGGGAGGAAAGAGAAAGAAGTACACAGTTATTCCACACTCGTAATGTAAAAAGACTACTAAAACAAAGGCCACTACCACCACGATGTTTTTGCTTACCGGAATTTGGGAACCATTTTTGTCTGGTATGTTGATTCAATTAGTCTCCAGTAGACATTTTATGGTTGGAAATTCTTTTTTGTTTTTGAAAAGAATAATATTGTTTTTATCTTGAGTACCTTGAAGTCTTGGCATGGGCAGGAACTTTTTTTTTTTTTTTTAATTAAAGGCAGTGCCTGGTGCCGGAGGCCAGGCCCTGGGTTCATCCCCAATGTGGAATAGAAGCAACAAGGACTGCAGCTTGGGGTTAGGAGTGCGGTCCAATTTGGGGCGCCCAATTATGAAGGCAGAATGCCAGACCTTTGCCTTGGAACAGGGCTAAGCACTTCAGAGGAGGGACGGTGTTGTGCTATCTTCTTCAGGGGCTCTATCAGCGAAGTGGGTAAGACAAGGTGAGGCTGAGAAGAGAGGCACAAACGGCCAAGGCGCAGGAGAGGTGTTGCAGAGAGCTGGGTAGGTGTGCTCCTTTCTGGCTGGTGGTCTTGGTGGCCAGCTTCCTGGGGCTACACCCCTGTCCTGGTTCTGTGGGTGGCGAGTCTTCGCAGGAAAAACAAAGAGGTTCAGGGTACTCTCGAGAAAAGTCAATTTGGTAATTTCGCCTTTAAAGGTGGTCTGAAGTCCGTGTTTTGGAGGTCTGGCTGATGGAGAAGCTCCTCTGCTTGGGGTTATGATCAGTCTGACCGCAAAAGCGCACTGGATGGTAAAGGAGTCCCTCCTACGCTGCTTTTCCTCGTAAAAACAGTTTAGGGTTTTCATGAAAAATTTTCAGTTATGAGGACTAGCCGTGGAGCTACTTGCATGCATGAGCCCGAAGAGAATGGAAGCTCGCACAACTCTGGGACAGAGGGACGGGAACCTCAAGCATAAAGAGAGCGTGTTATTTTTAAGTCACACTTGGGCCATGTTCTGTCACCGGTGTGGTGGCTTTTAGCTGCGAACAGCCTGAGCCTCCCTCGGGCATGGCCACCTCCTCTCAGAAAGGGGCAGGCCATCTCCTTCCTCAGACGGCGCCAAGGCGAGGCCCGTGGGGCCCCGGGGAGCTCGGGCGCCGCAACCGGGACGCGACCTCGCCCTCCTCCGGCCCCGCAGGGCCGCGCCAGCCTCCACCCGTCCCTGCGCCCCGGGACGGGGGAGGGCAGCCGAGGCGCGCCGGGAGGGGGGCTGGCGGAGACAGCGCGGTCGGGCAGCTTCAGGTTTCGTCCTGGAGCCGGTGGCGGGCGCGGCGGCGGGCGGGCCCGGCCATGTGATGCCGGGGCCGGGAGGTGGGCAGGCGGGGATCCAGTGGCAGCCGGCAGGCGCGGCGGGAGCGGGGGCGGCCCGAGCTGCGGGCGCAGCCAGCCGGCTCCGGGAGCGCGCCCGCGGCTCCGCCCCCTCCGCGTTGGCCCCAGCCTCGCGGCCGCCGGGCGTTGGCAGCTTAGGGGAGAGCCTTCCCGGCTCCGGGCGGCGGCGGCGGCGGCGGGGGGCCGGGGCGCGTTCCGGACGCCCTCGGGCAGGGCGCGGGGTGCAGCGCCTCGCCGGGGTTCCGGAGGCTGTGGGGGCCCTAGCTCCAGGTAAGTGCTCTTTGGGGTTCCATTTCTCGCGTCTTCTTGTAGCTCAGGGCAGAAAAGTTTGTTCCCTCCGCCCGAGTTCTTGATCCCAGAAATACTCTCTCCAGGGAACTGGGGGACGAGAGGGACAGCAGAGGTGGAAAGGTGGGTGCTGCTGTGGGTTCAGTGGCGCGAGGGATGGCCGCCGCCACCGGGTCCCTCGGGGACAGCAACAAGTGCAAAGGGTTGCACAGTCCAGCGCGGCGGCGGCAGCTGCGGAGCGTGGGGTCGCTTGCGCCGCGCAGCCGGGAGCGCACAGAGAAGGCGGCGGCCCCCCTCGTTCCCGTCCCGCCAACCCCGCTACAGGGTCCGGGGATGGGCGGCTGGAGGGAAATTTCCCCCAGGGAAATGCACCCTTGCAGTGGAGAAAGGGGTGTTTCGAAAGCTGGTTTCCCGGCGGTGTCTCGCCTCCAGCGTGAGGGTTCTTGAGGGGGCTGGGCCCCCAGAGAGCAGACCAAGCTCGTGGTACCAACGCTATCACTTCTTTCATGTGGAGATATTTGCAGTATTTCAAAGGAATCTGTAGTTATTTGATTAGGAGGGGGCGGTCGGCATTCCGTCGGATCTTATTCTTACGGATTCATTTGCCCCTTGAATACCTGGGATGTGGGTGAACGGTACCCTAACCTTCTCGTGCTAAAAGTTTCCTTAGGGGTCGTAATGATGGGCTTGTGCTCGGTCAAGGAGACATCCTTTTCTGTCGAGGCTGTGTGGAAGCTGGGCGCTGAAGCCGCCTTGGAAACCTAGCTCTGGTTTCCCAGACGCCAATTAGATTTCTAGGAGAGAATCCATCTGCCTCCCTAGGAACCCACAGCGTCCCGCTATTGGTTACAGCTGGGTGGGTCGAGGAAAGGCTGCAACATCTGTGTGTGCGCAGCTTCCTCTCTTTGACCCCTGCCTGGGTCTGGACAAATCTCTGCAGACCTGGAATTACGGAGATTTACCACCAGACCCACGCCAATTGGGTAAGAAAAGAAAAAACAAAAAACCAAACCTTAAAAAAAAAAACCAAAAAACGACAACCACCAAAACCCCTCATCATTTATGGTCCCGTCGGGTCTCTAGTTTTCTGAACCTTTGTCATCCTGTGTTCTTAGGCCCTGAAGCTTTCAGGGAAAGCAAAATCCTGTTTTCACAGCAGAAACAGAGACCTGTCCTTATTAGGTTTTGTGGGTTGTCCTTTGCACATGACAGTCCAAGCACAGTGATAACAGGGAAGGTTTCTATATATATCCTGGGTTTTACATATATGTTCTTTTTTTTTCTTAAAGATTTTATTTATTTGACAGAGAAAGACGCAGTGAGAGAGGGAACACAGGCAGGGGGAGTGGGAGAGGGAGAAGCAGGCTTCCCGCGGAGCGGGGAGCCCGGTGCGGGGCTCGATCCCAGGACCCTGGGATCATGACCTGAGCCGAAGGCAGACGCTTAATGACTGAGCCACCCAGGCGCCCCTACATATATGTTCTTAAAACATCTTTGTATTTGCCTCCTCTTGATTAATGACCGAGCTAAGTCCTTTGCAGTATTTGGAGGACAAGAAATGAGTACTGCAAAAACCTTTGGAATTTCTTTCTACAACATAGTATTTCAATACTATGAACTCTGCAGTGAATTTTCTGTGGCAGTATTGTGCTCGTTTAACTTTGATTAAATAGGAATTTGGATCACTTCAGACCTCAAGTTTAGTGGTTAGGGAAACTGAGGCACACAGGTAGCTACTGAGTATGTGACTCGAATGTCCTGTCTAATAGTAGAATGGAGAACAGAGAATTAGTGTTTGTTCTGCTTTGGACTGTTTTCTTCCTTATCACAACCATATAACCTGGCCAACCAAGAACAGGTTATGTAACAGGTGTCATTAGACTTTCCTTCCAAGCACCTGTGCTGCCCTTTAAACAGTTTAGAAACAAAGAGGAAAATGGTAACTAAGGCTCAATGAAATTTTATCAGGGCCCTCATTTGGGGTTCACACCTTTTTTTTTTTTAAATCATGTGAGTACTTCAGAAGAGTTTAGAATATTTTCCCATACTTTTCTAAGAAAGTTCTGTGGTGACTAAGACAAATTAGGCAGAAATTGCAGGTGAGTTCTGATACATGACTTTTAGTATATGCTATATGGGAAAGGGAAAAGTATTGTAGGTATTAAAACTGGAATACGGGGCGCCTGGGTGGTTCAGTCAGTTGAGTGTCTGCCTTCGGCTCAGGTCATGATCCTGGGGTCCTGGGATCGAGCGCCCTGCTCGTGGAGAACTTGCTTCTCCCTCTCCTCCCAGCTCAGTGCTCTCTGCCAAATGAATAAATAAAATATTTTTAAAATGTCTTATTTAATTGAGAGCAAGAGAGAGCACAAGTAGGCAGAGGGAGAGGGAGAAGCAGGCTTCCCACTGAGCAGAGAGCACGATGTGGGGCTTGATCCCTGGACCCCGGGATCATGACCTGAGCCGAAGGCAAATGCTTGACTGACTGAGCCACCCAGGCACCCCAATAAATAAAATCTTAAAACTCTGGAATACAATCCTTATATTAGGCATCATGTTCAAAAGTAAGTACTCTGTTAGTACTTAAGCTCTAACTTAAAGTCTGGCCAGAGTTTATGACCAAGGAGACTCCACAGAAAAATGGATGCTATAAATATTGGAAAACCCTTTATGATTGGGGCTTGGCTAAGATCGTACTGCCAAATAACTCTGGTAGAGCCCAAATTACTCTCAAACTCCTAGGCTGACTGTAATTTTATTATGCTTTAATTTACTGATAAGCTAGGATAGATCTAGTTGCTATAGGTTTTGTCTAGTTACATTTGTACTTAGATTGCTTTAGTCGAACAGAGGATAATTCTTTCATGTGACTTTGGTACAAAGAGATGGGTCAGGTTGGGTAATTGCTATTTTTGGTTCTAAATTTCTGTTGATTTCAGGTCTAAGGCATTACTTTTCTGGTTTTAGAGTTTTTAGGATCTGTTGCATTTTTTTTTAAAGTTTTTTTATTCATTCAAGACACAGAGATAGAATATGAGCAGGGGGAGAAGCAGAGGGATGGGGAGAAGCAGGCTCCCCGCTGAGCAGGGAGCCCGATGCGGGGCTCAATCCCAGGACCCTGGGATTATGACATGAGCCGAAGGCAGACGCTTAACCATCTGAGCCACCCAAGTGCCCCTGCATTTTTTTTTTCTTTAAGAGAGAGCATGCACATGAGCACACTGGGGTGGGATGGGGCAGAAGGAGAGAGGGAGAGAGAATCCCAAGCAGATTCCCCACTGAGGGCAGAGCCCTTGCAGGGCTTATCCCAGGACCCTGAGACCATGACCTGAGCCGAAATCAAGAGTTGGAGGCTTAACCAACTGAGCCACTCAGGCGCCCCAGGATCTGTTGCATTTTGCCTGGGCTTTTGCATACTTGACACTAAGACATGTGACTGGTAAACCGCCAGGTACCTTTATATGATAGTGCATCTTAATCAACTATAATTTTTTCCTTAATTTGATCTTGGCACAGTAGTAATTTGCTTATTTCTACCATTACTGCTCCTGGACTCCTTCTCCTGGATAACCAAGATAATGAAATTTGACATGATTTTTTAAATGAGGGAAAGCAAAAACGTCATGTAATTGAATATTGGGCGTTTGTTCCAGTGATCTTTGTTTTGAACCCTTTTATCAAATGGATTTTTAATCTTCAGAGGTGATTTCTCCTTAATTTTTTCCGCAATTTGAGGTTTCACTTGTGTAGGAAGTTACTGTGAAAGTTTCTCGAAAAGGAAACCTTGAATGTATGAGTGACGGCCAGCATAGGTGGAGATGGGCAATGACATGTTTGCTTTCCTTGGTATCATGTCTAGGAGAGACCCGCTAAACCAGCCTATTTCAAGTGGCAGATTTTGAGAGGTGTGTGCATGACCATTTTACCCTTAAAACATACTTAAAATGTTAACTGTTGAAATATAAAGACCTTCCCTTAATATGTTAATGAAGAGATAAATCGCCTGTTGATGAATTCATGGTCTAGCTCCCAGTGTCATTGGCACAAGTTACCATGCCATTTGTGGCTTAAGACTTGCTCCTTTTCTTCCATCGCTTTATAACTTAAAGAAATTCTTTAAAACTATAACAAAGTGAATCACAGTGGGGACTCTGGAGCCAGACTGTCCACTTTAGACAGCCCTGGCTCTGCCCTGGCTGTGTGGCCTCTCTACCTGAGGTTTTCCTTTGGTAAAATAGGGATAATCATTAGAACCTGCCCCGTTGGGTTGTTTTGAAGATTCAGTGAGTTAATTCACAGAGAGCCCTTCTAGAAGTGCCTGGCAGAGAGTAAGTGCTAGAAAATATAATAAATGGAAAATAGGCAATTAGAGTTTTAGCTTTAGCAGGTTTTCCTGGTTTCAGAAGGCAATGAGAGGTCAGTAGGAAAGTGCCCTAGACCAGGAGTCAGGGACGGAGTTAGCCTGTGATCTCCCAGCTGTGTGACCCTGGGCAAGTATGACCCCTCTCAGGGTCTCCATTTCCTCCTCTGGTAAAGCAGAGTAGGCTGGATGGTCTCTAAGGCCCGCCAATCCTCATATTGTAAGCCAATGAAATTTGGAAGGTGGGCATTTGTCAACTTGGCCTTCCTATCTTGGGCGACACTGCCAGGAAGTTACCGTCCACAGGGTTGGTACAGTTCTTGCAATGGTCAATGAGCATTTTGATGGGATTATGGACTATTAAGACCATTAATTTACCTCACCTTGCTCACCAGATAGTCATCAGGTTGAAATGACTGAGTTATCTTTCTGGACTTAGTCCAGAGAGATTTCATACATGAAAGTCTAGATCCCATGCATGCAGGTCATAGGCCACCCTGCTCCCTTTATTCTGAGGAGCTCCCCATGTTTAAAAGGGGTGGTATAGTCCTAGGAAGCCAAGTGACAAGCTAGCTGGTGTTTTCTGAATTTCACTATAAACATTCCACACTTGTTTCCACACCTC